CAATAAATTAATGGCCCCCAAAAATATATGAATATGCATTCCCCTCCTTAAAATCAAACTTTTTAAGTAATTGAATTCATGCAAGAGTTCACGAAGCATTTCAAAGCTGCATAACATAAAAATCCCATAAGAATTTGTTTTCAAATTGTATTTATTGTTTTGGGAGAGCGAAAAGATGAAAAATGTGTATCAATTCTTTGGCAGAGGATGCAGCCCAGCCACATGCAGAGTGCGAATATTTTATGATTTCGTTTTGCCGCATTTTGTAGTTACTCGACACTTTTCCAAGTATTGCTGTAAATATTGTTACCAGAAATACAAAAATGTACGCAATAAATAATGCGAAATTGAATATCGAATATAACAAATATTTCAATTTTTGCCGCTTGGCAAAGTTTTGGTGAAAAACAAATGCAAATTGTATTTTTTACAAGCTTAGTTTGGTTTTTATGTGTACATATATTCAAGAAAGTAATTTGTAGTCTTGGTTATCCTAAATAATGTTCAGTTCTTTGGCCGTTGATGTGGTATAGTAATTTTCACAATTTGTTCATTGAATTTCCCACTCGAGAGAGATATTTTTAACACTCTTATTATGTATCGACTGTTTTCATTTCTTTTGTTTTCCTGTTGCCTTAATTAACTTATTTAATTGCATACGGTTTTGCATTCACTTTGCCAAGTTGGTAATGCCATCATTATGTGTTTTTGTTTCTGTGGCAATGATAACAAACTGAATGAAAACATCAGCAAATTATGCATCGAGGTCTGTCTGTATTTTTATTTCATTTGCTCTTGTTTCATTGACGGCCTGAAAATGAATGGAAAAATCAATTAGGGAATGTAATTGTGTGGAAATAATCATAAATTGAGTTGAAATTAATCGCAAGAGTTTTTAAAGCTTAGTCCAAATAATGTGATTGAATATAATGAATTAAAATCCACCGACTAAAAGGTTTTTAAGCACGGCCTAAAATGAAATTGCATGGAAGACCATTTAAAATTTTAATTACGATAATTAAGCAAAGGCAACAGAGAAACCCTTTTACCCAGAAGATCTGAAAGAGTTCAAAAGGGTTTCGCAAAAGTCGTAAAATACCAAACATTAACTTGAACCCTAAAAGCTTGAACTTGAAGAAAAATCTCTTCCTCACTCCTAAAAAAAACCTAAAGAGATTACGTATACGCCAGGTGGGCCCCAAGCAGACATTTAAAAATGGAAATCTAATTTATTATCTTTATTATTTATTTTGTACTCTGGTATTAGTTGCATAAATCGAAACCGGTTTCTTTACGTATTTGTAATTTATACAAATTTATATTTGTGGTTCTGGTTTCAGGCAATTAGTTTAATTAAGCTTTTAATTAAAAGGCCTTTGCCCAATAACCGCAGTTTTGATTTTTATATTCCATCTAATCGAAATGGTCTGGTTGCATGAAATAATCAATGATGTCATAGATATATATTCTGCGACCACTGAAAATATATAAATATTTCAAAGGGTAAAGTGCATCCTTCAGACTGAAAGTAAAGAAGCTTATGTATTTGCACAGCTAGAGCCAATTTCATATGATTTGGTCATGTAATTTTAAGAGCTAAAATCCCTGCATCTCTGATTTGCATTGGAATCCAAATAAAGAATGGCTATAGGAGAAGGGCTGGGTATACATATTCAAAAAGATTTCGCATGCGGCGCACATTTTTGAATACATTTGACAATTTTCGTAAGAGAAATGAGAAATATTTGCATTTACTTGAGTAGCAGCAGCGACAACGACGAAAGCAACTACGACGACGACGACGACGACGACAACGGCGGCGGCACTGCAAAAATGTAATTTCCATGAAAGCAGTCAGCTCTGGAGTCCGGGAGTGAGAATCTGGGATACGGGTTATGGGTTACGGGTTACGGGTTAGGGGAACCGGGAAATGGGGAACGGGCAACGGGATCCGGGGAATACGGAATACAGAGTCATGAGCCAAGCAGGAGTCATCCGAAGTGGCTGCAAGTGCGCAGGCATGCGGGCCATCCCACGCCTTCTTTATGTATTTTACTGGGCTACACTTAGAGAATAAATCTTACTTATATAAGAAAATGCTATTACAAATACTAATGGAATCGGAATTTGAATTCAAGAAGTTTCTTAAGCAACTATTTTCGACAAATCAAATTTAAAAACTCATAACTTAGCCAAAACGCAATTATTTTAATTCGGTAAGCAGTCCTAGGTTAGTTTTAATAAAAATTAAAATTGTTCTCAATTGTTGTTCTCAACGATTTAATAAAATATTGAAAATTTGAAAAAAATAAATTGTCATCGGTCAAGAAAGATCGATTTGGCTGTTGATGCTGACCAAGAATATATATGGAAATGACTGCTCCATATCGTTTTAAGCTTCTGACTGAAATGATAATACCTTGCAAGGGTATAATAATGTAGGAAAAGTTATCACCAAGTCAGGGTAAGAATCAATATTTATGAATAATTCCTAATGAAGTTAGTTAGTTAACTTTAAATATACGTTTGTAGATCTCTTAACAAATTGCTATATCACTTTACATAAACATTAAGTAATGGTGTCCATGGCATATGGGATTGATTTAAAAGTAAATCAATAGCTAGCACAGCTAATGCTAAACATAGGCTTGATCACTCCTATAGCATCTACATATGTAAATGATATAATTATCATGATTGGTACTTACCGCATTATTTGTTATCGTCATTGTTTACTTCCTCCAGTGTAGTTTATACTTGCTGACTCATCGAAGTGATCCTCCTGTTTATCCAAATATATTGCCATGATCAGGTGAATTTTTGATGTCGATGGGTATTCACTATCACACACCTTCACATTCGATGTTAACAGCACGGGACCACGATAGACTGAGATCAGTGCGGCAGCAGCGCCTCTATTTATAGTCCATGATCAGAGAGAGAGCAGAGAATGTAAGAGCGGGAGTGCGAGAGTAAAAGAGTTACCTCCAGAGAAAGGCAGAGAGAGGTGGGAGAAAGATCAGCTGCCAAACTGAGAGTGTAGTTCCATAGGAACAGACAGACGAACGGGGCTGCTAGATCGACTCGATCTGATGCTGATCAGGAATATATATACTTTATATGCTCGAATATGACTCCTTCATAAATTAAAATACACTGCAAGGAAATAAATAATTACAAAACTCAACAATTATTCAAAGCCCGTTCCTCAATAAACTTAAAAGGTTTTTCTAAAGAATTTTTCTCAGTATTAAAAAAATTTGCAGGGAAGACGAGGCGTTGACGGCGTTGGCGGTGTCTATTGTGCGGGTTAGCGGCGGCTGCATTTGCATCCCGACAGCAGATGCTCCACAGAAACACACACACACACACTCTGCACACCCCAGAAATATACACACCACACCCACACCTACCTCCCAGAGGAGGACCGAGAGAGATTTTCCAGAGCCTGTCCGGCTCTGGCATGAAATATTTGACTTTTGATTAAAGCACCGACTCAAGTGCTCTGCGAGACTGCCTGGCGCTCCGGCGGCTGCCCTCCTGCCCCCTGCCCGCCTGCCCGCCTGCCTGCCACTTGACAAGATTCACTTGTCTTTCAAATGCATTTCATATTGTGTTGCATAATTTTCTGCGGCTTCCCCGGGCCTAATGTGAAATGTGCCCTGGAAAAATTCCGAAAAATGCCCCACAACGCTCGGTGTTGGGTGATGGGTGGCATTGTGAAAAGTTTCCCCAAGATCCTGCTGGGTTCCTGGCTGTTGTCCTGGCTGTTGTTGCCATTGTGGTGTTGCGAAATATGCATTGTTTGTTGTGGCGAAAATAAGCGATTCTATCTGTTGGCCGAGCTGCTGCACTTGCTGCAGTTGTGCCAAAACTAAACAGACCGAGAAGTTTTATGGAATTACAAGAAGTTTTGGGTGCAGAAATACTCCATGAGATGGTATGTGATGGAGAAGAAGTACTTTCTGGTGCCTGAACTTGGATTCAAAGAAAGTTGTTACAGTACAGGTTATAAAAACAAAGAATCTTAGTATAGAAATAGGTTCTTACCTTTGAAAACAATTAAATGATGTCAAAAAAGTATAAAGTTAAGGTAACTTTGTAAAAAGTATTCCAATAGAGTTTAATTGGCATGCGAATGGTGAGCCACTTAAGCCCAGCAAACACCAAAAAATCTTCGAGGCAACACTTTGTTCAGACCCGGGACAAAAAATTAATCATACGCTCCGGTTGCCAGCACAGTCAAGGGGAATTTTCACGGATAAAAGGGGAATATTATTGCGGTACAAAAGCGAATTAATTTTTATAAAAGGCGAACCACACGGTGGTTCATGGCCTGGTCCTGCTCCTGTTCCATGCTCCTGCTCCTGCTCCTGCGGTTTGTTGCTCACGCACGTACCTGGAAATCCATACACCACCAAGGGGTTTGTATATACTTGCAGGCACTTGAAGAAAAGTTTGCCACAATAGCAGCTATAAGAATTATTACTAAAGTTAAAAAGGTAAGTAAAATTTGTTTGCTTAAAAAACTAAATAATTTTCATTGTTGAATTATTTTTTGGCTTACAAATTTGTTAAATATTTATTGTTTATATTTGTAGTATATATTTTCTTTCGCTGCACCGGCTGGGCGCAATTAATTTTCAATGTGCGCTTTATGCAGCTCCTTGCCGGATCCGGATTTTGCTCTTCTCTCTCTGCGGCGGGAATGCGGCTGCCAAGGATCCCCCAGTTGCGATGCGATGGCGAGTGCGGCGGGGCGTACTAATTGCCAAACAAAAAAAAATAAAAAAAGGCGGCTAAAGAAATGCAGCAGCAGCCCTTCGAGTCCTGTGAGTCCTCGAACCGCCTCTTGATCGCATCGCTGGCTAATGTGATGTGTGCTTAATTTCCGCATTTCAGCTAATTGGCCTCGTTCGCCTGGAGTTCGCTAATTACTTAATCATCAGCCTCAGTGACAGCCCCCAGGCTTATAAATAAGTGAAAAACACTCAAGTTGCTATCGTTTAAGATGCTTTTTAAAGTAAAAAATATGATGTGAACAGTAGTTTCAAATTTGGCAATGAAATAGTTTAAACATATCTCAACAAACTGAAGAAAAGCATAATAATATATGACATTATTGTGTTCTTGTTTCAAAAACCTAGCAAATTATAATGTTTTACAATGATTTATGTACTAATGTTTCAATAATCTAGCAAATGATAAAGTTTTATAATGATTTATTTCAATGGCACTGCCTTTTAGGCCTTATCATCATTTGTGCACGTTTCAGAGAGTAGGTGTGCCCCTTGAATTGATACCAGTTGATGCCCTTTCCATGAGTGTTATCACCATACTTGCCCGCCAGGTTGCTAAAATTATATAAAATATAATTTATAAATTACGTGAATGAATATATATTAAAAGTTCAGATACTAACCTGTGATGACAGGCATTATACCACCAGGCACTGCTGTAGTTAATGGCACAATTGGCCGTAGCATGTTTGTCATTATCCCGATCCTTGGTGGTGAACTTTTGACCCAAATGGGTGGCCAAGGCATCGCCGGCATTGCCCGAGTTATTGCCCAAGGACTCCAAAGCAAAACCATTCTCCTCCGATCCAATCCTGAAGTTGTCATACAGTTGATATCGTCTATCGCCATCATTATCCTCGAGAAGAACAAGTAGCTCTTGTTGCTCTGCTGTAGTTATGGAGTGCAGCTTATCCAGCCCAAGAAGAACTCATTCTCCAGTTTGCCGAAGCCATTTTTGTAATCATTCCAATCCCGGAAAAAGTCCTCACTGCCATCAGTACGACGCAGGAATAAAGTCCAGCCGCCACCATGACTCAGTTGATCGCAGGCCACCACAAAGGGGTGTTTACTGTACTCGGGCACCACAATCACATTGATTTCACTGTGCTGTGTGAGAACCGAAGGTTCGGCGCAACTTTTGCCATACAGTTTTGTCTCCACGCCAGTTTTGCTCAAGCAACTATCCAGTTTCTCGGTCAAGTCATCCAATAGCTCACCATGTCGTTCCTGTTCGACACTGAAAATAAATATTTATTATTATTTTTTAAGTAAAGTAAACATAGTTATATTAAATCCCTACCGCACTGCAATCATCTGAGATCTTATTGATGCCGCATTACCGCATATTGTTGATATTTCACACACTTTTTCCGCATATATACATGCTAGAAAATTGATGACTAAGATTGAGAATAAATTAAAGCCCGACATGACTAGTGAACAGATTGATTGCTCAGTTAAGACTAAGTGAGATGCTTTTATACATCTCAATATACAACGAAACATCGGGAATTCCTTATCTCTCGCCAGTGAATTGTCGAGTGAATGGCATTTAAGCGATTATTTCAGTGATTCCCCTACAGATTGTTTACACTTGAATTTTGCCAGTAAAAACCCAAATAAGTACCTCACTTTATTATATATAGATTTTTGTATATGTCTTGAAGTGCTTTACCAATATGTTAATATGTAAAATTAACTTAAGAGGATGCAAAGTCATTAATAATCGTTAAAACAAGAGCAACAATAATTAAGCTATAGCTTAAACCATATTACATCAAAGTTATTATTAAAGCAAACAATCTATGAATATGATATTTTCTTCTGGGTTTTTCCAAGCTTTTTCCAAATATATTATTATCTAGTTTCCTCTGATTGTGGGACAAGTATTATTGTGGATTGCATTTGCATCCATCAAACTCGTTCGACTGTCAGTATTTCCTGGACATTGAAGCCTGTCCTGGTCTTGGTTCTGTTCTCTGGTCCTGGTCCTGGGCTGGTTTTCTCGGTTGCAAAACTTAGTTACGAGCTCATCCGCAATCATCCAAGCCACTGCTGTCTGTCAAATTGAGCGCAAAAGCCTTGGCAGCCAGCTCAGGTAACATCAGTTCCGACTCGTTACAGTTTGAAGTTTACCGTGTGTGACAGGCCCGGGGTTTTGGTTTCATTCGGTTTGGTTGGTTTTGTGGGCGGGACACCACAAAAAAAAGGAGGTTCACTCGAAAAGTTTTCTCTGAAGAGACAAGCAAAAACAAAAGAATTCATTGTACACGCGGCAAAAAGATCTTTTTCGAATTTTAAAATCTTTAAAGATGTGGAAATCGGATACTAAATATACTTCTAAAGCTTCTAAGATATAAGAAATTTTATCCAAATCCAAATGTATACATTTTCTTAATATTTTTCCTTCTAAACATATCCCTTTTTTGACCAATTCGAGTGGGGATAAACATAAATGGGTTGGGGCATAAATCGAAATATTATCAAGATGCCAGCTTGTCGCGTCGCAACTAAATTGTTTGCAAATTTCCCTCCGCAACTCCTTCGTTTCGACCCGGCGGCGCCTGATGGCCAAGAACAACGAAATAAGACGAGTGGCAGAAAATTGTGTAAACAAGTTTTACCTACCTTTTGGCCAAAATGTGTATCTCTGGGCCTAAACATTTTGCGTGCTATGTACGGGTTGTATTTCATTTTACTTCAACACTTTCGGCACACACAAACACATAGTCTGAGAGTCGAGTGCCTTTGGGGTCCAACTTTGGGCATAATAAATAACATAAAAATGAAGCGAATTCAACCTCAAAGTTCAATTCAAATAACCACTCAATAGATCTGGAGGCTACTGCTCCTGGGAACTCCTGGGACTCGCCTTCCATGTGCATACGAAATGGCCGCCGGCTGGCTGGAATAGACGATGAATTTAAATATGGCCAAATTGAGTATTGGGCACGTAATAAAAAAAGAAAAAAAGGGCCAAGAAAGGCGGTCGGACAGCCGGGACGACCGTTATGTATGGCATCGTAAATAAACCCTTTTTTACTTAATCCAAATTCGTCCCCGGGGAACAATTTGTTACACAATTTAAAAGAAAAAAAGGACGAGAAAAGGCGAAGCACTGCTGGCTCTGGCTCCGAGCAGGCATTTAGATTTTTGGTCCAAGTCCAAGCTGTGTCCTTTGCCAGGACCCGGGTCAGTTGTGCATACATTGTCCCTGTCCGAGCTGCAATATTTTCGCTATAAAATATTTATATTTCCCTCGCTCCGTAATAAGGTTTTAAACTTCCATTTCTCGAATGCATATTTGATGTTTGTTAGACACGGCGAATATGCAGGGCAATAAAAGAATCCAACGAAAGATATGAGAATGAAACGAACAAGATTTTGAATTGCTTTACTAGCCGCGGGGTTTCTAGTACATATCCAGTTGCTGATTTTAGTTTTTAACATAATGTTTTAAGCTCATATGTATATGAGAAGGTATCTTTAAACCAAAGTACAGAAAGTAAAGAAATTCTAAATGATTTTTCTGAAACTTAATACTTATAAAGAAAGATAAGCTTGTACTTAAATCAATCAAATTATTTTGTTAAACTATTCATCATTTATTTTTAAAATAAATATTAATTGATTTTAATATTCAAAACTTCAAATATATATCCATAGTAATGTTAATAAAGAACTAACAATGATTGGAATACGAATAGAAGTAAACTCAAGCTCAAATTTTGTCCATATTCCACCGATTACCAATTTTCCTTCAATTTCCCCCTAAGCCGAACTTTATCATCGAAATGAGCTTTGAACCTAATCAACTGGGCCGTAGATCCTTTGTATCCTGCCCAAGTCAAAACAATAACAAACTCAAAGGGCAGCTGCAGAAAGGCCAAAAAGCGGCGCCAAGTTTACCCCAAAAATTAGCGGAAACGGAAGCCAATCAGCTGGCAGCGGAAACCGCATTGTGCCGCAGCACTTCAATTCCGTGGCTTCGATTATGATGAGGCTCTGGCCACCATCCTCAGCGGGATCTGGCTGGTACTCTGCGGTCAGAGCCGAAAATAATGGCCAAGAGCCAAATTACGTTTCCGCCATTTGGTGCCGGGGCAGCTCTCGCTTGACCGGAAATTGTGAAAAATCAACTCGGTTGAAGGGCAGCCGCACAGTGGGAAAACCCCATATCCTGCAAGTCGGGATTTTGTGTGTGTACGGCGAACTGACTTCACAAGTAGAATTACCGCGTAACGAGGAAATTTCAATATAAGTAAGAGAATAGAATGCTGAACATTGAATGCGAAGACAGAATACTCTGCTTTTAGACATATAGATATTCTACTACATGCAATCGGGAAACACCCCTTGGCTGAGTATTATAAAACTTAAAGAAAATATATTTTAAACAAATTTGTTCCCAATGAAAGCCCTCAAGGAGTTGATGGTTGTTTCCCCCCCGAAAAATAGAGGCAGTCGGCGGAAATGTAAAACGCCCGGCATCTGGCAAATGTCTGCGAATTTTATAATGAAATTCCACAGCGTTTAATTATGCCCCGAGCAGTTAGTTGCTGCCTCTCTTATCTGACAATGGAATTTGAACTCTACTTTTGCCCGAAGTGTTCAGCTTTCCATGAAATGTATAAAATTATTACAACAAAATGCCAGAAGACGCACTAAATCGAATTTGAAAAATCCATTCACAAACCATGTGGATGGGGCAATCTGGCTAGTAGGCATTTTTCCAGCAAATTCAATTATGTAAATGTTGTAATAAACATTAAATAATTTAATAGCATTTCCGTAATGTGATGAAATTCATTAAACCCTGTAGGTTTTAAAACAAATTAATTTCAGTTTAAGCGGCTTAAGTGATAGAAATTCAGTTAAAAAAAGCTGAAGTAAATGATAGCTCAGTTATTAATTAATTTCAAGTTTGAAGTATTATAAATATTTGTCTAAAAAGTATGTAACATAAATTAGATATTTTATCTATAACTCAACTGTGATTCAACCATTAAGATAATACTATATTATGGTTCATATTTTGAGACTGTTCTCATTCCATTTTAAATCAGAAAATGTATTTGGATGAATATATAGTATATCATACCTTATCTGTTTTATCAATCGACCCTTTTGAGGGGCAAATAACATACAAGTTGCCTTAAATTCCACCGTTTAAGGCTAACTCAAATATCCCTTGTTAACATGTTCGGCCTGGCCTCCCCACTCGATATCCATCCAGCATACTACATAGTTTTTACCCTTATCTTTACCGTTACGTGAGCGCACGTATGCGCATTCGTTAGCCTTAACTAAGGCCGCGTGCAAATCCCTCGCAGACCATAAATTATACACGGAAAATTTGGGGAAAAATCTGAAAAGCCCGCATCGCCTGAGGGTCGCAATGAACGTGAGGGTTTCGAGCAAAAGTGTCGCACTAAAAAGCGGCAACTGTTGCTGATGCATTCGATAATTAAATACGGCAAAACAAGATGTCGACAATTTTGGGGATTTGAATAAACACGCTAAAGCTATTTAACTTTGTTTTCCGAGTCCCGCCTGACCCACATCGGTCGCCGGTTTTCCGCTTTTCCATCATCCGCCTCCATTTGCTTAGCTTTACACGCAGGGAAATTTCCTAATCCAGGAATCCCAGGAATTAATCCTAAATTTTAGAGCTTTATTGAACATATTTTCTAATTGACTAATGAATACATATTCTCTTATTTTTAATATTTTTTTTTTTAACTAAAATGTATTTTCAATAACAACTAACTTAGTTTGCTTTATTTTGAACATTAACTGTTGGGAATTGTTCTATAAATTTTAATCTTTTTACTTTAAAATATATATATTTAAAATTCCTTGAAAATATGACAACTTTTATATGGAATGTCTTAATTTCGGGTTTGATTTTCCTTCAAGTGCAATTTTCCGCGCACGCAAACTCAAAGCAAGCAAAGCACATTAACTGTTGGGAATTATTCTAAAAAATTGTAATTTTTTATTAAAAGATATATTAATATTCTCTGAATATACAACAACTTGTATATGGAATGTCTTAATTTCGGGTTTGATTTTCTTTCAAGTGCACATTTTCCGCGCACGCAAAACTCAAAGCAAGCAAAGTTGAGGCGCCGCGGCGGAGACTCTGTGAAATTAAATAAGTTGGGGCAACCGCTAACGAGAAAGGTGTCTGGCACTAGGAATTAATGCGGCGGTTATGCGAAGCCCCCGGGCCAGGATGCCTGACTGCCTCGCCTGCCTGGGCTGCCAGGATGCGGAGGTGGGCTTTTGTGGCGGTTCGGTGGTTCCATGGCTCGGCGGTTGGGTGGCAACGCGTAAAATTGCAGAGCACATGTGTCGGGGGCTTAATCTGTTTAGGCAACACGAGAAGCGCCTGCCGACAACTTGGTCTAAAACTTCAGGTAGCACTAACTTCACCTGGCAGT